CTATATTATAATGTGTCATATACCGTTAATGAGATGCATACTGCGCGAAAAAGTGTTCAGTCCCCAGCGAACATCAGCGTCAGCCGAGCGCCGTCCGTACGGACATGCATACGCCACGAGTGCTCAGCCCGCAAAGGGTTAAATGTGTGTACTCTGTTCCCGCAAAATTTTTGAACCCGGTCCCGCAAATGGTCACACCGGACCTGTGCGTCAATTCGCAATAAAAATCTGCGAAACGCGGAGGACATTTGACAGCCAGTCTCAGTCATTCCATCCAAGACGAAGGACCGATCGACAGGATAATTTTCGTCGTAAAATCAGACGTAAGTTCATTATACTTAATATAATACTGTCTGCTGTGCGTGCACTGTAATTGTTGCTCGGTGCAAAATTAATTTCTCTTTTCTTACAGATGGAATGGACACGGGAGGACGAGGGGAACGAGAACGGCCGGCAGCCGCAAAACGAGGTGAGTAAAAATGCTGTTTTCAATCTTCTTTACGTAAGAAAACATCTTGATCGTTACTAATTCTTTTTTCCTTTTTCTATGGTTACATTAAAGGGGCTCAAGGAAGAGCAGCAGCAACAGCAGCAGCCGCGGCGGGCGCAGCAGCAGCAACAGCAGCAGCCACAGCGGGCGCAGCAGCCACAGCAGTTTATTTATTGACGTTCAGCAACGCTTATACAATCGTCATCTCTGACAATCTCTGAACGTGCAGGACTGTGGCTACAAGAAAAGAGCAGTAAGTAATCGTGTATTTTATTAATGTTATCTTTTATTAAAACTATTTATTAAATAAATATGATATAAATAAACCCCAGCTGCAGCCCCGACCGACTTCAGTCCCAGGCGACCCAGCACCAGCCGCCTCAGTCCCAGCCGACCCCAGTCCCAGGCGCCCCAGCATTTCAGAGAAATATACCTTTTACGACAAATTAAACTATATAAATAGCTTCTTGCGAAAATCATAACTATTTACGATTTTGTACTTTTATTGAGTGTTTTGAACATTGAAAGCGAATTATGGATGCGAAAAAATATGCCTTTAAAATCAACGATTCAAAATCGTGTAATATTCATCTTACAAAAAATATGTGTGACATCCTTTGTACTTATAATAAATAATTTCTTAATGTGAAATTTAAAAATAGGAATTAAATGTGTGTATTCTGGTCCCGCAAAATTTTTGAACCCGGTCCCGCAAATGGTCACACCGGCCCTGTGCGTCAATTCGCAATAAAAATCTGCGAAACGCGGAGGACATTTGACAGCCAGTCTCAGTCATTCCATCCAAGACGAAGGACCGATCGACAGGATAATTTTCGTCGTAAAATCAGACGTAAGTTCATTATACTTAATATAATACTGTCTGCTGTGCGTGCACTGTAATTGTTGCTCGGTGCAAAATTAATTTCTCTTTTCTTACAGATGGAATGGACACGGGAGGACGAGGGGAACGAGAACGGCCGGCAGCCGCAAAACGAGGTGAGTAAAAATGCTGTTTTCAATCTTCTTTACGTAAGAAAACATCTTGATCGTTACTAATTCTTTTTTCCTTTT